AAGGAAGGAAGGAAGGAAGGAAGGAAGGAAGGAAGGAAGGAAGGAAGGAAGGAAGGAAGGAAGGAAGGAAGGAAAGGAAAGGAAAATTTGGGAGATTGTGTTTAACTTTGAAAAGTTGAGAAATTATGCTGGAGAGATGGCTCAGTAGGTAATATTTCTTCTGGCTGTGCAAGCATGAGAGTCCAAGTTCAAATCCCCAGCATCAATGTAAAAGCTGGGTATGGCAGCCCACATTTGTGATCCTAGCACTGGGGAAGCAGAGACCGAGAGAGACTGGAGTCCCACAGCAGCACATCTCTAATCCCAGCACTACGGAGGTGGAGACAGGAGGATTCCTGGGCTTAGCATCCAGCCTGTCTAGGTGAACAGTGAGCTTAGTCGGGTGGTAGTGGCACACACCTTTAATCCTAGCGTTCAGGAGGCAGAGGCAGGTGGGTCCCTATGAGTTCAAGGCCAGCCTGGTCTACAGATCAAGATCCAGGAAAGCCAAAAAAAAAAAAAAGAACTCCTATCTCAAAAAGAAGTTCCAGGGATTCTGTCACTTCTTCTGACCCCTGCAGACACCAGGCATACATAAAATAAAGAAATCTAAAAAAATCAAAAATAACAACAATGATCTGAGAACAATCAATAACTCCCAGGTATGAGCTAGGAGCCCGATCCATTCCCTAGATAATTCTTCAGTGTGGTAGAGTTTCCTAGGTTTTCATGTCAGTTACCCTGCTAGGGTCTTATTCGATGTTTCAATGCACAGAAGCAGCTTAGTGAGGAACAAAGAAGTCACTGCATATTCCAGTCGCGCAGAGGACCAGGAAATGCGGCTGAGCAGAGTGAATGCCCCACTCTGTAAAAAGCCACCAGCTTCCTTCTTGTCCCTCCCTCTCTTTGATCACCACGGCTCAAACATGGAAGGTCCCCCAAGGAAGCAAAGCCAATGCTGAGCAGAGTTTTGTTTTGCAACTGGAGTTACAATGTGCTCTGTCACCCGCCACCACCCACCAGCTGAGCTTTATATGAGCTTTTAGCATGGGTCATACTGTCCTCAGAGCATAACACACGAAGATCCCATAATGAGAAGTCTGAGATCTTCATTTCTTTGAATCATTTCTAAAGTTCCTTTCTTACAGATCATATCTAACCTTAAAACAGTCTCATCACATGGTCCAAGGGCAAACGATCATCTCTATTCTATTAAAGAAGAAGCGGGGTCAAAACGGTGGCTGAAGGCACAGCTGCTGTGGTGCCTTCCATCTCCCATCCACCCTCACTCACTGCTCATAACAGATGGCGTGGTGAGGTGGGTACAGAGCAGACTGGGGGACACTGGAGGTCAACTGGAGCAGGAAAGGAAGGCCCTGAGCGAGGAAGAGATGAGAGGCCATCCCAGGTAGAGGGACAGCAGGTCCATAGGGAGGGAGCAGCAGGGGACCACACGCAGCAGAGCAGAGCAAATGTCTGGCCCAGCTCTTGATCTCAGTGGTGATTCTGCCTCCGTATTAAGATGAATTTGCTCAGTTCATATAACTCTGAAGATTAACTAAGACGGTTACGAAGAGGAACATCTTCACAACAGAAGCAAAAGTAGAAATGAAAGAGGAGTCTCAAGGGTGTGAGGAAAGGACACAATCCATGTCTGAGACATTCAACAACATGGACAACTCTCAAAAATCAAAGGAAATTCTGCCCAATCTGAGGCGTGCTCAGATTTTATAATCAAACAGCAAGATGTGAAGCTAAGGGTGAAGGAATCGGAAAGCCACTGAGAGTGCCAGTTAGACATGAGGTTGGGAGTGTATTGATCTAATCACGTGTAAATACTTGTTGGGTGTCTACAAAGGGCTGAGAATATTCTGGACACCGGCGAGGCGCCACTCCAGTGCAGGTTTTGTTTTAGTAAGAAGTGGGTGATAAACAGCTAATCATCAGATGCTGAAAGTGTCATGGAGAGACATCAATCCAGTACTGTTTCATCACAGGCTGGGAGGGCCAGTGTCAGGAGGACCTTAGTGGCGAGGCTTTGACAGAGGCTCACAGAGGTAGAGAAGAGAGACCTTTGAGAAGCATGAGTTGAAACACAGTGACAGAAAGAATATGCTTGTAAATGTCAAGTTTCAACTATTATTTTTGTTTCAATTTTCGGAATGTTTTATTTAATTCTAAAGCAGTGAACTTAAGCTGTACTAACTGGATTCCTGTTACTGCTGCACCCACAAATCTGTCCCACATTGTAGCCAAAATGACCTTTCAGATCTGATTCTCAAATCTCCTAGGCAGCTCTCACTGTCCCAGACATTGTCCACACTCACATGGGTGGTACAGGAAACCCTCCATTATCTGATTCACTCTGTGTGCTGTTTTCTCTGTTCAGGTCACAGTTGTTCTCAACCTATGAGTCGTGACCCCTTTGGCAAACTTCTATTGCCAAAAATATTTACATTATGATTCACAACAGTAGCAAAAGTACAGTTATGAAATAGTAGCAAAAAAATTTTATGATTGA